TCTTTTTCTTTTATTTTCTCCCTGAAGCCGTGAATGAAAGAAATATATAAAAGTGAAATGGACGGATTTTTATTATAGTAACATCAATTTTCTTTTTCTTAATGCAAGATCTGTTAGCATTAGATATTTAAAAGAATTTTAACACCAAAAATCTTTCTAAGATGGAATTCAATTGACCAGATATCAAGTTACGATGTCATCATCGTCGTCATCATCATCTTCCAGAATCAATTTTTCCATGTAAGGGAGTTCCTCAACTAGGTTCCATTTCTTGGAAAAGGGAGCTGGAAGAATAAAATAAAAAAATAAATAAAATGTAATTGTTGAATAATTCTTTTTTTTAAAGATATTAATTCAGTTTTAGTTACTAAACTCACTATTGTCATTTTGGTATCAAGACTGAAAGAACAGTTTGTATGCTGAATCCATTAAACCTTTTCATACAAAATGAGCTATAAAGTAATCACCATGGAAAGCATCATAAAAGCAGTAAAGATTAGGATACAGCTGTACATTTACTTACTTAAATTACCATAGTATATTTTTGTTTATTGATTCTCAAAATGAAGATGGAAGAAATATTTTGGCTATGTTATGCTTTGTCTGCTGCTAGGGGTCATATTCTGCCAGTCAATCTTCTCCACCCATACTTTTTGAGCTGAAGGATTCTTAGACAAAGCTGGTTGAAAGTCTTCAAGAATCAAGGGAGAGAAAAATAAAAGAAAAACAACATTCAAGGTAGACAACTAACACTTGTTTGTTAAATCAATGGACTTATTTGATTTTTTTTAATCAATTCACCCCAAGGAAAGTGATAATGCCACTAAGAGGCAAGGGGTTACAGGGAGTGAAAAAAAATGAAAAAAACTTTAGAAGGAACTGGGTAACCAATTCTAAACAGAAAACAAGGGATAAACCTCTACTCCTGTTCAAGATTTAATTTCCAAATTAACCTTTCCTAATTCAATGTTACTATAGTCAGTTCTTGAATGTTGGAATCATTCATGATACATCATGAACAATAATTCCCCTTATTCATGACTGATAATCAAGTTCAGTTGATCAATCAGGGAATTTTGGTTTCAGTCCTGCAGAAAAAAGTGTCTCCAACAATGGAAAAGGTTAATAATAATAATGATTAATAGCGACTGGACTGCCACTCTCAGCCTGCTTATATTAAGGTAAACCAGTGTGGTCAGGTTGAGGTTTTGATTCATTATCAAAAACCCCGAGGTGAACATTTTCCAAATTTCACCAATTCAAATTCCCTTTTAGGCTCTCAGATTTCCATTAGTTAAGGAACCTCTCACTGCCACTCTTAAGGTGGATCTACATTGATTACGTAACCAATCAGATCCACTTGACCAATTAACATTATTTAATCAGATTATAATTTCTTCATTTTTCTATCAGCCTCAGTATATTCTCAGCATATTATTTATATTTCTCTTGAATTACCTTCTAAATCCTATAGATGACTCAGATCCAGACTCTTTGGTTCTTTCTTGTAAACATCAATTTCTTATCAAATCTCACTTTCTCTGGACTTTTCAAAATAGAAAATTTTCCTTTAAGTAGGTAAATAGGCACCAAAGTGTTTCTGGTATACCAATATGCTTACAGTCTGTTCCAGTGAAATGGAAAAATCTATCAATTTCAAATCTTTTCATTTGTACGTCCTTAATTCTTAAAATAACAACCAGCATTCGTATTTATGATGCGACAGGAGAATTTCTACTGATATTTTATTGTCATTAACTTATTCAATCATTAAGTGAAGAATTAACATTCATTAGGAATTTCAAATAGGAAAACCGTGAGATTTTCACGGGTTAAAACTACTTATTATTATATCATCATCAGTATCATCATTATATTTCGACTTTTGCTATGGTCTCATTACCTTCTAAGTCAGCAGGAAGACCTGAGGCTTGTAGTGGTGTGTTGTTATGGCTGCATTTCCTGGTGTGTTTTTTCTAATTCCCATAACATCCCTAGCGTTACATGAACAAAGTTCTTCTTAGTGTGTGGACTATACTTATTAAGAAAATTTTTGGATTTCTCTTAAGCTGGAATTTCCAGGGATTTTTCAGGGTGTTGTTGTGTTCCTTTTTTTATCATTCCAAGTGCACCTACTATGACTGCTACTATTCTTGTTTTCAATTTTCACATTTTTTCTATTTCGATTTCCAGGTCTTTATACTTCGATAGTTTTTTTAAATTACTTGGTTGCTTACAGTCCGCTGAGCAAACCATAGCAATTAGTAAGCAAGTTTTTTTTTCTTTTCGGTTTTTGACAATTATATCCAGCCTATTTGCTTAAATCTTCTTGTCTGTAAAAATGGTGTAATCCCATAGAATTGTGATCTCTTTAATTTCTGTAACCGGTTCTGGGTGATGTTCATACCAGAGTTTGTTAACATCTTTTTCAAACTGTTTGCACATTGTTTAGTGCAAATATTACGCCACTCTATCGTAACGCTTTTTATATTCATTTGGTGCAAGTACAGAACATCCTGAGAGTAGAGGGTCTATGATTTCCTAATATTTGTCACAGAACCTGCATTTTGCATCCATACTATTACATATGACATTTGCCTAAAGTTTCTAGTGAAAAGATTTTGGTCGTGTACTGCAAGAATAAAGTCTTCCGTTTCAGCTTTTAATTCAGATGCTCATAAGAATCGATGAGTGTTTACTTTATCAACATCGGCTTTATTAGCCTCGTTCTGGATATTGGCCATACAGAGGTTTGTCTTGCCAGCATTGTTTCATCTGTTCAAGAGCTTTATTCTTGGCTTTCTTTTTCCATATTTTTGCTGAAACAGTTGGTTCTTGGGTTCTGTTTTGGTTTTCTACAGAATCTACTAAATGTCAATCTCGTTTGTATTTACAACCCTCTTTCATGATTGAATATCTTTTCTTTCTCTTTTCGTGTTGTTTGACTAATTGTATTATTTAGTATTTTGTTATTTCCGTGTATGTTAGTAAGCCAATAGTTTTTTTTTTCTTGTATCACAATTCTAACTGAATAAAGCCTCTTCCACGTTGTTTTCGGGGTCTGTATAGATGGTCGGCATCAGCCTTTGGATGATGCATGTTATGCTTTCTTGTCTTAGAATCTATTCGCCTGATATCATTTACAGTTCAGTCCACAATGTGAAAATTATATTGAATCACTGGGATGGTAAGGCTATTAATGGCCATAATTCTGTTTTCTTTTCGAACTCTTTCTTTCATTTATTTATGGTGAATTCCTTCACTCTCACTCATTTACATAGACATAATTTTTAAGCTTCTTCTTGCTTTAAATCTTTGATTGTTATCCCAAGATCTAAGCTTTGTAGTGATTCTCGTAAAATTGTGTCTTTGTAAGTTGAGAACTAGATTTGGAATCCTGGGATCTTTGAATTCATTTTGGTATTCTTTGTATACTTCTACTATTAAATCTGTTGTAATTAAAGAAGAACAGGCATTAATATTTGAATGACCCACGTATCATTATTGAGAATGAGGTATGCTTTGTATGCTTCTACTATTAAATCTGTTGTAATTAAAGAACAGACATTAATGTTTGAATGACCCACGTATCATTATTGAGAATGGGGTATGCTTTGTATGCTTCTACTATTAAATCTGTTGTAATTTATCCCAACCGAATTTCATTCCAATATTATTATTATTATTATTGTTGTTGTTGTTGTTGTTGTATAGTCAATACTTACCTATTAATTAGCATGTAAAGAAGTGTTAACAACAAGAACTGTTTTTATTACCAGGTAAATGTGGATATGTCCGATGTTATTTTGGGAGGAGTCATTGAGCTGCAAGTCAATTCATTTCCTTACCAAAGTTTTTGTCTTGATCTGGAGATGCCATAGAGATTTCATGGGACATAGAGTGAATATCTTTCATAATGTATTTCGTTTTTACTTTAATCTCCGTCTGTTCTCTGGAGAACAACTAATCTTAGAGATAAAAGAACAAAAATTGTGTTCCGTCACATTTTTTTAGATGAGTTTTCGTTCATATTTTTGTAACAGCAGAAAATGTCTTTCTGTTTATTCTTGAAATTTCTGTCATTTTATATTCCAATATTTTTGAGATTCACTCCCAAGGCTAACGAAATATAAAAACGCAAGGCTCTACGAAAATAAAAATAGTTTTCCTTAAATGATAGAGAAAAAGCAAAAATAAATTAACTTCAATGCAAATAACATGAGTCGTACTGAATAGTTTTCAACTTTATTTGTCGTGGTAAAAATTACCATAAAATCAACTGCCTTGAGGAAATGGTTCGAGACGTCGTCTATTTTATTCTATTCACTTAAGAATTGAGTTCAATTTTTCAAACCTGCTCCTCTCATGTGGTCCTATAGTAGACTCGGCTCATCTTTAAAAAAATAACTGAAAAAGAAAAGAAATCGATCAAATGTGAGAACAACATTTAGAAAAACGAAATGGCATGGGAAAAATAATGTTTTAACCCATTGAAAAACATTCCCAGAGAATTTATCTCTCAGTTGAGTTCTTGGAAAAAGCGGGTGGGAAATTGTTGCTTAGTTATTTTTGTTTTGTTTTGTTTTTAAATTAATTTTTCTTTTCTTTTGTTGTTTTTGGTTTGTTTTTTGTTTTTTTTACTTTTCTAAGGAAACAGAAAAATTTCGTCAGAAACAAAGTGTACTGAATTGTTACGTAATGTCTAAAGACAGTTTAGCCACAAATTTACACGAATGACAATTAGGAACCTAGTCTAGATGACGATAAGGCGCCATCTACGGAAACATTTTTTAGAAATTAATAACTCGAAAATGAAGGTTTTGTGGACATGTATTTATATGGACATTTGTCCTTGCTTTGGTGGGAGGAACCCGCCCCTAAAGTTTGTAAAAGTATTTTTTTATATAACCCTGTAGAGACGAAACTCTGAGTAGAAGATTTTGATTAGCATATTAATATTATTGTATTAATAATATTATTATATTATATTTCATTTCTGCCTATATTGACATTGAGATAGATAGATAGATAGATAGATAGATAGATAGATAGATAGATAGATAGATAGATATGAAAATGACTGAGATAGATAGATAGATAGATAGATAGATAGATAGATAGATAGATAGATAGATATAAAAAGGACTGAGATAGATAGATAGATAGATAGATAGATAGATAGATAGATAGATAATGGAAAGACTGAGATAGATAGATAGATAGATAGATAGATAGATAGATAGAGAGTGAGAGAATGATAGACAGACAAATAGATAGAAACAGATCAATATAGATAGATTGATAGGAACATTGAGATAAGATAGATAGATAGTGTTATGGGGTCCACCACTTTTTCATACAAGTGGACTCTACTAGTGTGTACTTGGACTGCTGCCGTTAAATACCCAGAGTCAATCAGAGTAGAGGAGCAGAGATTGTGATTGAGTTGGAGGTAGAGTAATAGTGTGAGGTAACCGCTTGTAGAAGTCACAGTTACAAGCACGTAGACTCTAAGGAAGTCCTACTTCGAGACTGGATTTACCAGACTGTGAATATATATATTATTATTGCTCCTAACCACGTTTCTGGATCTACTAACCGTATTACCAATTGTATTATTACGTCAATACATTTATTTGTTATATTTCATTCCTGGCGTTTGTCATTCATTGGAAACCGGATTTCATCTCGGAATCCACAACAGATAGATAGATAGATAGATAGATATGGAATCGACTGAGATAGATAAGGAACATAATGCTAACAGACTGAGGTAGCTAGACAGATGAACATGAACAGAAATAGAAAGATATATGAACATGAACAGAATTAGATAGATAGATAGATAGATAGATAGATAGATAGATATTGTGTTACTTACAAGTGAACAGAATCTGATAGACTTGAACAATGTCACAAAGTTAGCGACTGAGAAAGACAACCGCCTGAGATAGATAAATCGATCGATACGAACGAATGAGAGAGATGAACGTGAAAGAGTAAAAAGTAAAGAGAGTGAAGGAGAAAAGAGGGGCGTCTATCAACACAGCGTACCCCACGCGTATACACAGGGATTCAAGCCCATAAACATAATTTTTATTCTTATTTAACACCCATTGTTCATTCTGTTCAAAAAGGCAAAATGTCAAAGATATAGAAAATTGTAATATAAGCAACCCCATTATTCTCCCCAAATATCGCGGTTCGTGTTGGACACTTCACGTATCTAAAATGTCTTCAACCCTTTATTATAAGAATCGGACGCGTGGGTAGATTTGCTAGTGATGATCGCTAACATGTGTATGAACACGAGGCCCTTTTTGTGACCTGGTTTCTCTAGACGTGTGTTTCCAAGAGTGGGCGATACTGTCTCCTTATAGCAGTGAAAACATTCAGCTGTGAGAAAAAAGGGGACGGTAGTTGGCGGCAATTAACAAAAAGGAGCGGTCGGTCGGCGGTAGTCTAGCATTAGTGCTAAATGATAAGATTCCTTTTTTGAACGAAATCTACATAAAAAATATAATTCACACTTAAAGAAAATGTATGCTTTATAGCGAAACGTTTAAGACACGTCGTAATAACGAACAATTTTTCGCTTGGCAGCCAACAAGATTACAACTTTTCAAAATGGACTGACAACGTTACTGAGTGGACTGGAAGATCCTTACAAGATACTTAGATACTGGTACGCAACAGAGACATGTAGAGGGAGCTGGTTAGATACTGGTACGCAACAGAGACATGTAGAGGGAGCTGGTTAAATACCGATACGCACCCGGGACATGTAGAGGGAGCTGGTTAGATACTGGCACGCAACAGAGACATGTAGTGGGAGCTGGTTCGATACTGGTACGCAACCGAGACATATAGAGGGAGCTGGTTAGATACCGATACGCACCCGGGACATGTAGAGGGAGCTGGTTAGATACTGATACGCACCCGGGACATGTAGAGGGAGCTGGTTAGATACCAATACGCACCCTGGACATGTAGAGAGAGCTGGTTCGATACTGGTACGCAACCGGGACATATAGAGGGAGCTGGTTAGATACCGATACGCACCCGGGACATGTAGAGGGAGCTGGTTAGATACTGGCACGCAACAGAGACATGTAGAGGGAGCTGGTTCGATACTGGTACGCAACCGGGACATATAGAGGGAGCTGGTTAGATACTGGCACGCAACCGAAACATGCAGTGGGAGATAGTTATATTCACAGCTGTGCAGTGACCCGACGTCCACACACATCATGGCACTGATGAGGATGGAGATGATGATGCTTTGCTTGCTTGATTGATTGATCGATTCGTATTTTATGGCTTATCAACCCTTTGCAGGTTATTTAAAGCCAGAAATTTTTTTTAAAATGTAAGAATGTTTTGTATTTTTTTAGATAATAATGGTTTAGCCATACAAGTTCTTCTAAAGTCTTGGGGAGAAATGGTTGATTCATATATCCCTAAGGATATTTACGATTGTTGGAACTCGGCTCTCCGGTTAACAATTCCGAGCTATTAATGGTTACACTACCCACACACCCGAGCTTACAGCACCTGGTACTGCCAAGTGGTCATCCATCTAATTAATGACCAGGTTCAACGTTGCTTAACTTCAGTGATCATACAAGAACCGGTGTTTCAACCTAATGTAGCGTTAAGCTGACGATGCAAAAGAATAAAATTAACATAATTGTCAGACATGAACGCAGGGCTTCATTTTATTTTGTTGTTCGAATTTAAATGTCCGAACGTTTGCTTGTATCTTACGGACATTATCTGGAGAAGACGTGCCGCGTACCAGAACGATCAGACAACCGACGTCTGCAGGTAAACATGCCTTGGGATCTCGGACGATAAATAGGGACTATAAATCAAATTAAATTAAATACCTTGTCACCTGTTCGGACTTATGAGAGTTGCTTGTCCGCCTGTTTGCTTATTTCTTTGTTTATTTCTTTGTTTTATTTATGTAACAAACAGGCGGACAGACACTTTCTTGAGTCTGGACATTGGAGCCGATAAGGTATCTAATGTAATTTGTTTTATGGGCACTACTTATACTCAGAGATTTCAAGTCATTTCCTCACATACAGTTTTTTTTTTGTTTTTTTTTTGTTTTTTGTTTCTTTTTCTTTTTTTCATTCTGACCTGATGTAGCCAAATAGAGCAGATGGTCTCGGCGAAATTCATCGTTAATAACTTTTCCATTTTGTTTCATTATCTTGACTTTTGTTTCGGATATTATTAGACTTCCTACATATGCACATCTACCTTTCCATTTCTATTTATTGAGCATATTCGATCTTATTAAATTGAGAAAGGTTGATTAATTATTTATTTTTGTCTATCTATCGAGCTAGCTAGCTAGCTAGATAGATAGATAGATCTTATTGTTATAAAAGTTATTTTTAGTGAGTATACGTGTTTGTGTTTTGTTTCTTAATGTTCTTAAATAGCGGAATTGTTATCACCTGGCCTAGATCGAGAAGTCTTACTAACGAAAAACATACCTCAAAGATAATTGCTAGCTGTTTTTTTTCTTTCCACCAGTTTTCCTATAAATTTTCTTAAGGCCATTTTCAAAAATGGCTTAAGAAGACAGTGACATTCAAAACAAAAAAAAATGGCAGGTATTACTTTTGCGTGCGGCCTACGGCAGTTTTCTGTTGTCTACTTTGTGAAATGACCTTTAGCATACGGTCTACATTTCAGGGTATGAATTTATTACCGGTGTTTAACTATTTTTACCGTTTGACCTTTGGTTCCGACTGCCGTTTGACAAGGTTCTGACTGTCGATATTTTTATGTGGAACGGTCGGCGTGACAGAACCATTCGGTGATTCATTCGGTGGATTCAGTGACAAAAGCAAAACAGGTGGTTGAACGATCGTCGTTGGATCCAAAAAAACAAGGATTTTAAAGGAAATGAGAGACGTTAATATAAAGCCTTTCCCGTTACAATTAAATCACATTTACTAGAAAGTAATGAGAAAAAAACGAATCAGATTTATTTTGAGGATTCCAAAATGATATATGAAGTGTGTATCAGTTGGATTTAGGAAGATTCGTCTAAAAACATTGGTCTAAGGGAAAACTGTCTAAGGACATTTGTCTAAGGAGTGAACGTCTAAGGACCATTTGTCTATGGAATACACGTCTAAGGAGATTTGTCTAAGGAGTAAAGGACCATTTGTCTATGACGTCTAAGGAGATTTGTCTAAGGAATAAACGTCTAAAGACCATTGGTCACGTCTAAGGAATTTGTCTATAGAATAAACGTCTAGGGACTATTGGTCTATGGAATACACGTCTAAGGAGATTTGTCTAAGGAATAAACGTCTAAGGACCATTGGTCTATGGAATACACGTCTAAGGAGATTTGTCTAAGGAATAAACGTCTAAGGACCATTGGTCTATGGAATACACGTCTAAGGAGATTTGTCTAAGGAATAAACGTCTAACGACCATTGGTCTATGGTATACACGTTGGTCTAAGGAATAAACGTCTAAGGAATTGGTCTATGGAATACACGTCTAAGGAGATAAGGAATAAACGTCTAAGGACCATTGGTCTATACACGTCTAAGGAGACTTGTCTAAGGAATAAACGTCTAAGGACCATTGGTCTATGGAATACACGTCTAAGGAGACTTTGTTATGGAATAAACGTCTAAGGACCATTGGTCTATGAAATACACGTCTAAGGAGATTTGTCTAAGGAATAAACAAGGACCATTGGTCTATGGAATACACGTCTAAGGAGATTTGTCTAAGGAATAAACGTCTAAGGACCATTGGTCTATGGAATACACGTCTAAGGAGATTTGTCTAAAGGAATAAACGTCTAAGGACCATTGGATGGAATACGTCTAAGGAGATTTGTCTAAGGAATAAACGTCTAAGAACCATTGGTCTATGGAATACACGTCTAAGGAGATTTGTCTAAGGAATAAACGTCTAACGACCATTGGTCTATGGAATACACGTCTAAGGAGATTTGTCTAAGGAATAAACGTCTAACGACCATTGGTCTATGGAATACACGTCTAAGGAGATTTGTCTAAGGAATAAACGAAATACACGTCTAAGGAGATTTGTCTAAGGAATAAACGTCTAAGAAACCATTGGTCTATGGAATACACGTCTAAGGAGATTTGTCTAAGGAATAAACGTCTAACGACCATTGGTCTATGGAATAACGTCTAAGGAGATTTGTCTAAGGAATAAACGTCTAACGACCATTGGTCTATGGAATACACGTCTAAGGAGATTTGTCTAAGGCATAAACGTCTAAGAACCATTGGTCTATGGAATACACGTCTAAGGAGATTTGTCTAAGGAATAAACGTCTAAGAACCATTGGTCTGTGGAATACACGTCTAAGGACCATTGTTTATATAATGATATTTTTTAATAAATTAACATTTCATTGATGTACAAAATACTAAATTTTATCAACATTCACTATAATACCGAATAATATTTAAGACACTTCTATCAACGTTAATTGCTGATGATAAATGTGGCTTATAATCATTTATTGACATGCATTGTTTGTATATTAATACAACCTACTAATGTAGACCCTCTAGACGAATATTTCTTAGATGTATATTCTTAACATGAGTGTTCCTTAGGCTAATATTGTTATACCAATATTCCTTAGACCAGTGTTTCTCAGACGAATGTTCCTTAGACAAATGTTCTGAATCCTGTATCAGTTATGTATCACCAATAAATTCCATCATAATAATGACCAATAATGTACTATTTAGCCTTTTTTGATTATTATGATTCTGATGATTCTAATTTGTATGATAAAGTGCATGTCATTAATGATAAATTATTATTCAGCATTATTCAATTCGTTTGTATCATCCTACTGTATAAAGTTCTTGTAGTGAAGGTAGACTGCACGCTAAACTGTAAATGACCTGCTAGACCGCAAACTAAAGTAGCAAGTTAGACTACATGCTAAAGTAGTACAAAATGGCCTTCATGCACGACAATGCATCATCTCATTCTGCTATTGCATCTTTGAATCCATCTCTATATGCCGAGTTCTTTCAAGGCGTGCATGATTACGGTCCTTCACAGCTTCCTATATCTGTTGTTCTAGGCATTATATTTTCTATCTTTATTCTTTTTGGCATTGGCTTAGGGCCATATTCCGTTGAAACACCAGTTCCCGCACGGACACTGAAGTTAAGCAACGTCGAGCCTGGTCAGTATCTAGTTATGTGATACCGCTTAAGAATACCATGTGCTGTAAGCTTGGATGTGCGGGTGGTGTAATGGATAATGACTGAATTGTTAATCGAAGAGCCCAGTTCCAATTTCAGTTGGGTTCGTTATATTTACTAACGCGTAAATGAACTTGGAAAAGTTATGAATCTTATCCTCCCCTGATATGGGTTAATTAGTAAGACTTATATCACTAAATCATTATTATTTAAAAAAAGATCCTTACAATTTAACAAAAAATGTCTAACTTTAAATAACCTGCGAAAGATTGATAAGCCGTAAAATACAAATCAAACTTTTTAGTACTTATTTCTCCGGCCATTTGTATAAGCTTTACGTGTATGCTACTCATTGTTATCATCTGCTTCTCTTAACTTTGATGTGTCCTGTGAGTATTAAATTCTCCAACTATTCTTTCCTCATTACGTTGCCCCAAATTTTCAGCCGTCTTTTTCCGATATTCACCAAAAGTTTCCTTGCAGTTCCGCCACTGCTTAGAACTTCCTCCTTTGCTGAATGTTTAATATTCAAAGGTAGATCCACATCTTGATTACTTCAAATCTGTTTTCATTTGTGATTAAATTATCCATTGTTCACTGCCATATAGGCGGGGGGTAGACATCATTTAGCTGTTCAACTAATTTCGTCTTTTATTTCTGACATTATTTTCTATCCACTTCAAAAATATTCTTTTCGTAATTCCTATAAGCCTTTGAATTACTATATCATATTTTCCATTGTCTGTTATCACACTGCTTAGATATGTAAAATTCCGCATTTGTTTAATTAATTTTCACGCCCCCAATGTGTAATTCATATCTTGAGTTGCCCCTTTTACACACCACTATACATTCCATCTAAAATTAATGGTAATTTCTTCATGTTTTCCTCGGCTAGCTTGCCTTTAATTTTTTAACTTTTCATTCTGAATGTTCCATTTACATTAACAGCTGCGTAGTGTATGTTGTTAAGGTTTACATCTGTTGATAATTAATCGTGGTATGACTTCTAATACGTTTGCGCTAAATTAGTGCTAAAAAGATCGTTTTGTTTTAAGAAAACAATGCAAAGATATTTCACTATTATTATTTTTTTAGATGTATTCATGAATGAATTTTTACTCATCTCGGGTTGTGAGTTTTTCTAAGTAATTCTTTAGAGGTTAAAGTTTCATTGGAAAAAAGATAAAATGTTATTGATATGAAATATTTTTTTCAAAATTCGGTGACATGTTTTTTTTTAACTGATTGTGGAACCAGATGAGAACAGCTGGAAATGGATATAAAATTGTCAGAATTCCTGAGTCGAGTCATTCATTTATTTTAAACAAATGATCTCCCCCACCACTTTTTCTTGTGTGTATGTGATCGCATGCGCCTCTGTGTGTGTGTGTGTGTGT